TGATGCCATGCTTCACCTTTGTTTTGCATTCTCGGGGGATTATCCTGCATTCGATCATGAACTGACCACAGCTTTGGCGGAAAGGCCGGTGCCGCTCGTTTTTCCTGGCTACGTATCTGTCTCAATAATTTTCCTTTCACGTAGTTCTCCTCAAACCATCATTTTAATTCCTCTGTTTCGTGTGGTAAGGATGATTTCAACTGATCCCATGCAGAAGGTATTTCAAAATCTTCCAGAAAGGCTAATGCTGCCATTTGTCTCACTGTGATACTGAAACTTTCGTCGACTCAATATCGCGTTCTTAAACCACAGGTATTCACTTTCTTCTTTGATACACTGGCTAAGGTGAAATAAACAAGCACCATTGACAGCCCCTGGGAAATACTTCTGTACAGAAATAATCGGGGCTCGCTCCAAGTCGGTAATGATAACAGGTGGATTCAAATCAATGTCATGTTCTGCAGCGTAATCGATGAATGACTCAAACAAAGCATCGTAGCACTCCATTCATTTTCTTGACATGAGTGTATAGGCTAATGGAAGTATGCAACTACGTTCCGGCGGTCCTAATGGTGCGTGGATGGAGTATAATTGAAGGAACATATTAGGGACGATGTCAAATGTGCCATCCATAATCCAGTACGGAGCTTGACTCAAGTGTTTTATATTTGGAACTGTAACAAATAATAAAATTCTGTCGTGGTTGATTGTGGTGTCCTTCAGCAAGAATAATTCATTATTTATGGTATTTTTGTGTTCATCTGGAAGATTCAAATCATCGAGTGTTCGTGGCTCGGGATTGTGATTTTTCCTCATGCGTTTTGGAGTCTGTTTCAGTGCACTCACAGTTGGGAGGTATGGTCTCATACTGGAATCCTTATTCGCTCTGGCTTCTTGGACAATTTGATTCACCGTCTGACCACGGACAGCCGCCTTCCTTTTAATTGCATGTCGTACTTGTGCCACTGGAGCTTGTGATGCTTCGGCAGTGTGGTGGTGGTCTACAAATTTTTCCACTTTATGTCTGTTGTTTCGAAGCGTGGTCACTACTGTTGCATTGCACTCACGATTTTCACACCTCCAATAATAGCTCTCTTCTCCATTTTTTCTTCTTTTCGAGTATCTGAGGGTGTGCAAAAATCCACACACTGTTAGTTTATCTCGATCTTTGTTTGATGGAACAATTGTTCCGTGCTCTTCCTCATTCGTATCCATCGTGAACGGTCCATAAAAATTCAATTGTCTGGGTTTTTTATACTTTTATTTCATTCTCCTTCGATCACTAGACACTAGGTTTTTCGTTTATTTATTGCGCGAATTTGAATTTCGATCTGTCTTCGATGGCAGTTCTAAAGGCACTGTTGTAATGGGTTTGTATGTTGCTCGCGTGTATGTGAATCTGGTTTAGTGTTGTTATCAATGGGTAATTGGTTTTGAGTTTCTCGGGTTTGTGTTTGTTTTTACCTGTGTTTATGGTGTGTTTATGCCGTTTAATCTGGGCCGAATTGGACGTATTACTCATTGGACGAAATGATTTTTAGACCTAGTGATTTTTGGACGAAATGAATTTTTGGACGAAGTGATTTTGGACGAAATGTCATTGGACGAAATATCATTGGACGAATTGTTTTTGGACGAAATGACCCATATCCGTAAATACAGTCCTTGCTTACTTTGAAAAAAATAATGAAATTGCCTAAAAACACAAAAACAAATGTTTTTGTAAAAAAACTGGGCCAAGAACAAGTTTTGTTTAATTCCTACTGGGAAGTCGAAGTTGTTGAAAAATACATGGAAATAAAAAAGGAAGCCAAGTTAGGAGTTTTGAATAAATGGTGATAGTGCCCAATCAAGTTTCTATAAGAAAAATAATTCTCAATGGTATAAATATTCTAAAAAAATTCTCCATGAAATAAAAAATCAGTAGGATCAGGACCAACGTTCTTGGCGCGGGGTTTTTCAATTCACTGTCTGTATCAATCTACTCCTCCATCCTTTGATCCGCGCCAAGGATGTTGGTCCTACTCCTACTGATTTTTTATTTCATGGAGAATTTTTTTAGAATACTTATTCTATTTACGGATATGGGTCATCTTATTCTTTTCTTATAGAAACCTGATTGTGCACTATCACCATTCATTCAAAATTCCTAACTTGGCTTCCTTCTTTATTTCTATGTATTTTTCAAAAACTTCGACTTCCTAATAGGAATCAAACAAAACTTTTTCTTGACCCAGTTTTTTTACAAAAACATTTGTTTTTGTGTTTTAGACCATACATTCGGAAGCATATTGCTAATTTATTAGCAACAAAACAACACACTTACGGGAAATGCAATTATCCACTTGTTTCCTTTTCTCTTTCACATCCTTTCTAAATTTTTGGACTTCATACAGATTTCAATAGTACTAAAAAGGATGATGATTTTTTGGCGGAACAGTCTGAAAATAAACGTCTTATCATTTGAGATTCTTTGACGTTGTGGAAGAAGGAAATGGGTGACAGGCGGGGAGATAGTAGAAGGTGTGGGTAACCACACGTTTCCTCGATGGCACGGGGCTCAGGTTCTGGGTTTATTTTGATTGCTCTTGGCGGCGCCAAGCTGTTCGGGTCAGGGATATTGAAGGGCGAGCTCGGGTGGGCTCAAAATAAAATGAGGGGCGTAGTGATAACGACGTTGTTAGGACCTCGAAATTTGTTCATTTGAGGGACGGAGAATTAATTAAAAATAAACATTAGAAATTGAGAATAGAACCTGAGTCTCGGAGAGGGCTAACCCTGTTTTTCCCATGAATTATGAATTTTGAATTCAGGGAGACATCGAGATGACGGTTGGTTGACTGGGAATCAATCTAATCTCATTTGAATTCCAAATTTGGAGCTACTCGGAACGACTGAGGAATAACTCGGGGCCGAACCTATGAAGAGGACGACCCTCAGAAAATAATCTCTTGGGGTCACAGCGATGGGACCCTAATATCGAGGACAGACCTCAGACCGACAGGAAAGACAATCGTAAAGGCGCGAACACCCGAATCCAACTCTTGGGGAACCCAAAAGAACCCAGGAATGACGGTATCCAGCGAGCGACGTCAACGATCGACAATTTAAAAATCAAAACTAAAATCCAAAAATTAAAACTAAAATTGAGAATCAAAAGTAAAAAGCATCTATAAATGAAATTTAAAATGAAAAGTCGAAGTCCAGGGTCTGTAGCGCTGAAATTGCGGAAATGAAGTGATTGATGGGGGAATTAATTCCCCCACTCTAATTGATTTGCACGAGCTGAGGGCCTACGTGTCGAACGCCTGGTTCCTCAGTTCTCTCCAAGACGAATTTCGGACAGGACTTACCTTTTTGTGAGATATTGAGAGTTTTGAGAGTAGCCTCAGCCAGATTGGCATGCTTTAAGTTTTTGATTCATTTTTGGTTCCCTTGGGTGGACGATTTCGAGGAGATTGAGAGGAAAGAGCAAGGTGCATGACCATCGACGGAAGCTGAGCTAAGTACCAATTATTTGGAGCAATCAATAATATATCTTCCGATTCAACTGGCCTCGTGCCATCACGGGGAAGCGTTCCCACTCTCTAGTCATTGTAACTCGGTTGACATTCCCGGAATTTACCGAATTGACCGAGTTCGGGAAAATTATTTAATTGTCTGGAAGGGTCTAGCCGGATAAGCATGGTGAATCTGCCCCCAGCGAATTTCAAGGCGGAAATTTTTTCACATATTCACCACCCAAAAAAACAATTCTGTGTAAAATTTCAGATCATTATATCGATCTCCTGATTTTTTATGCTTAAAAAACTGTTTTTTTCGATTTTATTTTTTTTCAAGTACTTCAAAGCTACTTAATAATCTGAAACAATTCTGAAAAATCAAAAAAATTTCAAAATTGGAAGAAAAAATTTTTAATTGATTTTTAATTGCTAAATAATATTTTTGATCGACATTTCTTTTTATAAAAAAATCATTCTCATAGGTGAAGATTTTTCTACCACTTTGACAAAAATTGACGAGATTCTAGCCTCAATTCTCCACATTTTCCGAAAAAAAACTTCGAAAATTCCACCTGCAACACATTTAAAAAAAATAAAAACCTCAAATTTTTGCGTTTTTTTACCTATAGTTCTATTAATTGATCACTATATTCAATCTAGTGTTGTGGCACATGATACATTTGAAGGAGAGCAACTGCTGGACAAAATCGCTAACAAAGCAGTAAAACGATTTGAGTTGACTAAGTTCTTAGCTGAGGTTCCAGGCAATATCTCCAAATCTAAAAGAGATAGCAAAATTTTTGTAACGACCTTGTTTGAGATTGAAGCTAAATTGAGATGCCGGTTGGGGAAAAGTGGAATTGTGGAAGGAGGTGGAAAATTAAAACACGCGGAATTATAAAACCACACTGTTGATGTACTTTATTGTGGAATAGCCCACGCGTCTTGATAAACTAATAATGTTACACTATTGAGTTGCTCGACAAAGTCAATTAAATGATGATTTAAAAATGCACTGCACTTGAGATTCTCTCGATATTGAACTTGATGATTGACTCAAAATAATTGATAGGTAACTCGGAATTAATTGATAGTAGAATTGAATTAAATAGAGACGCTGTACGGAGCGCTAGTGATGTACTCGATTGAGCGGTTACGGCGATACAGTACTGTGATTAGAGTGACTCTCTCGGTGGCTAGAGCGATACTACTGACTTTTTCGGGGGTTTTCTTCGTAGCTGAATGTGACCCCGAAGGGTCCCGTAGTTTCTCGAGATTTTCGTTGAGCCCAGTGACCGTTTGACTAGTTTGAATAGCTGAATTTCAAACATCCCGGGGGCCATTCATCATCAGGGATGATGAATTGTGCGTTGAATTTCTCCGCTGCTTACTTTGCTGGTTACTCGTTGATTGGCTCTGGATCGTCTTCTCGAGAGTTTTCTTCTCCTGATTGTTCGATAGATTTCTTCTCCTGATTACTCATGTACTGGTGATAATTTAGGGCTGATTGCTGATGTACTGTTGATAATTTAGGGCTGATTCCTGATGTTCTGTTGATAAGTTTGGACTGGAGCCATTTAATACGACTGACAGCTCGGATTGATGATATCTCCCAGGGCCTGTTCTGCGGTAGANTTGATCATCTGTGGAGATAGCCTCTGAAATTTGTATGCATTTGATTGCATTGAATTTGCATACTTTCTGGTCCCTGAACTTTTGGTGATGCTCGATCAGCTGCTCGTTGAAGGTTCCCTTACGGCCGTTGGGGAAACCCTCGGTGAACAATCTGTGCAACTACAATACCTGATGGTATTCCATAATTGCTGTGCGTTGGCGTGATTGACCTGGAGTTTAAGCAGGCCTCTATCTGGGTTAGGATACTGTTGAGTTCCTCGTAGGTGAATGTCGACGGCCCAAGTACTCCTTTGAGGTGATACTTAGTAGATTTAACAGCTGCTTCCCACTTTCCTCCGAAATGGGGTGCTGTCGATGGTGAGAAGTTCCATTGAGTCCCATTTGTAGCGAGAGCAGCCTGGATCTGTTGATTCTCTCTGGTTGGCTGGTTGTACAGCTTGTTGAGGACTGTTGAAGCGCCAACGAACGTGGTTGCGTTGTCACTGTACATAACCTCGGGGATGCCTCTCCTTCCGGTGAATCTCTTGTAGGCTCCGATGAATGCGTCTGTTTTCTGCCTGGAAACGAGCTCTAAATGGACTGCTGATGTCCTGAAACACTCAAATACTGTGATATGAACAATAGATGGTTGGGCATTTGTGGGTCGCCATTTGAGAATGGGGAAGGGACTGGCATAGTCCGCTCCCATGTGGAGAAAACCTCGTGCAGGTGATCTACTTACAGCAGGCAGTTGGCCCATTAGGTGCTGGGCCTGTCTTCTTCGGTGTCTAATGCAGATATGACAGCGTAGAATTTATGCTCTCACTGTGCCTCTCCCACCGATCCAATACTTCTGGCGAGTATAGGCTAGGATGAGTTGAGTCCCTCCATGGAGAGCTCTTTGGTGAGCTTTTTCGATGACCAATCGTTGTGAGATGAGACTGATGAGACTGAATAATTGGATGAATTTCGTCACGGGCTAATTGAGAATTCTTGAGGCGGCCACCTAGCCTGATGATGCTCTCATTGTCTAGCGTTGGAGTCAGCTTTGCTAACGGATGACTCCGTGGTAGTTGATAGTCTCTCTCGAGAAGTCTATGAACCGATGCATATATTGATATTGTGGTATTTTTACCCAGAAGAGCCTGGCTTCGTTGAGTTCTCTAGATGTGAGGACAGGCGTCTGAGGAACTGGCTGTCTCCTGCACCTGTCAATTGCTCGGTTTAGGGTAGCTGTTACTTGGAAGACCTTGGATAGTCTTGAGTATCTGTTGAGAAGCTCTACCACGGCGTTGACTTTGATGGTTGTCTGATGTGATAGAGATGGCCTCGCTTCTATTTATGATTCTGCTGAGTGTCGGTTGGTGATGACTGCCAGCTTTCAGGTTCCTGATTTATCCATTCAGGACCTGACCACCATAGCTGATGTTTTGTTAGTTCCTTTGGTGAGAGTTCTCTGGATGCACAGTCAGCTGGGTTTGCTTTACCGCTGATGTGTCTCCAAAAAGCGTTTGGAAGAGATTCCTGGATTTTGATGACTCTATTTTGGACGAAATCCTTCCACCTTGATGGGTGGCTCTTGATCCAAGCCAGGGCAATACTGTCGATGCTGACTCGTTGATCTGCTTGGTGCGAATGTATATCATTGCGCCCATTGCTGCTGTTGAAGCATCTGCAAACTCGTGGATCTGGATGCTGCATATCTCCGATGAGAGTCTCAGCTGCCTTGGCACTGAGACTTGCTCTAACTTGTGGAGGTTCTCTCTGAACCTCGTCCTCTGGTTTTCATACTCGTCTGGAAGTGGCTCGTCCCAAGTGAGCTTAGGTCTCCATAGATCTTGAATAATTATCTTGCCTCGGGTGATTACTGGAGCGATGAATCCCAATGGATCAAACAGTTGAGCAATTTCTGATGCTACTACTCTCTTGGTGACTGTTGCTGACTCAAACTGCTTTGATTTAAATCGAAATGTATCAGACGATTGATGCCAATATAATCCGAGCACTTTGGTGATAGGCTCCTCGAACTGGATGATCAATTCTTTGATCATTTTCCTCTGGTGGTGATGATGTACCTCGGGAAAGAAACAATGGATGAGGGCGGTATCATTTGCCAAATTGATAAATAGAGAAAATGATACCTTACCTCTGAATCCAGTTGCTCCCTTCAATCCCGGGTTTTGAGTTGAAGACTTGCTGCGCTGATGCTCTCTCGATGTTCTCTGAAGGCTTGAGAGTTTCTTAAATTCTCTCAATCTGTGGTGATGTCTGCTTGTTGATGTTCTCTTGAAATTGCCGATTGCTTGGTTCGGGATTTCGTTTCCTTAGCAAATCTCAGCTATTATTGAGTATTTATTGAGTGGCTCTCAGGCGTGGGCTCTGTTGTACCTGGGTGAGCCGATAACGACCTTTCTCTGTAGGATATCTCTGCTTTGGATTACTATTGATGACTGTCGTTTTTGTTCTATGATGAGTCCAACTGAGGTTATTACTGGTGACCCTCAGTTCCGTGCTGATTGCTTGTCTCTCAGACCCCTGATGCGGTGGATACTATGCTGTGACGGTTTCTGCTCCTTCTTGTGCTTTGCGCATGTATCCCAGTGCCTCATACTCGTTGATGAATTCTCTGTAGTGCTGGGAATATGATTCGTCTGTCTGAAGACGACGTGCAACTGACTGGCGTTGACGTGAGGCCTTGAATTTACACTCTCCGAGCGCTGTTGGTGAGGTCTGTAGAGGGAGTCTGACGATGTAGCGCCCAGTGACGTCTCTGCTGTGTATGGATTTTCTGTGTATCTCACACTTGAGTTCATCTGANCGTAGTTGATTGATTGCTAAGGGGAGAAACACAGGGTGAGAGACGTATCATTTGCCAAAGTATTGATAAATGGAACNCGTGCAACTGACTGGCGTTGACGTGAGGCCTTGAATTTACACTCTCCGAGCGCTGTTGGTGAGGTCTGTAGAGGGAGTCTGACGATGTAGCGCCCAGTGACGTCTCTGCTGTGTATGGATTTTCTGTGTATCTCACACTTGAGTTCATCTGATGATCGCTCTGTTACTTGAGTTGATTGGTCCTGGTCCTAGCTCTTGGGTGAAGCTCTATTGACTGCTCGTTCATGGATTGCTTTAGTGCACTTGGGAAAACCTTAGCGAGCAACTTTGCAATTGATTGTGTCTTACAGTTATTCAATCAATGGTTGTGTGTTGGCGCCAATCTTTTATTTGAGAAGTTCTGGACTTGACAACCTCTTTGATGATCCGCCTTGGCTGTTAGCCCCTATGATGATTGTCTCTTGGACCAGGTATTTGATAATATCGATCAGCTAGTTGCAGAGTTTGTATAGTGCTGATCTCTGCTTATTGATGAGAACTATTGATTGATGATCTTGACGCTGAAGCTCAGTCGTTGCAGATCTTTGATGATTGTTCCCGATCGTTGACCTTGAAATCTAGAGGTCNTTGCCAAAGTATTGATAAATGGAATATGATACTTATCTCTCAATCCTGGAGTCTCTGGATTCCCTTAGCTCGTTGATGGTGTTGACAATCTCCTGATGATTCCTATAGAAGGTCGGAATTATATAACCCGATACTTCTCAACTAATTTGAGCCTTTTTGCAGCTCTCTGATAGGTAGTCTCGGTGATATTCTCATGAGCCGGAAGTAAATTCTTGATGAATTTCTCTTGGAGGTTGAGCAGCTCTCTCCATCCCCCTCCGATGAGTTTCTTTTGGCCTTTAATTCTTCGATGGTACGGCCATTGATATTCTCTGCTGATTGCAACAGTTCTTGATGAATCTCGTCCAAGTTATTGACCTTGAAGTCGATCTGCTGCATTTGGAATTTTGAACTGTGGATAATTCCCCTGTCGCTCCCATGTCAGACACATTCCGTTTGATGCTCGTCTGTTGAGTAGAGTCCAGGATGGGAGTAGACTGCGTAGGGTTACCGCTAAAGTACTCTGAATAATATGTTGATGAGTTGGCAGGAGGTTCTTGCTGAGTTNTTTATTTGAGAAGTTCTGGACTTGACAACCTCTTTGATGATCCGCCTTGGCTGTTAGCCCCTATGATGATTGTCTGTTGGACCAGGTATTTGATAATATCGATCAGCTAGTTGCAGAGTTTGTATAGTGCTGATCTCTGCTTATTGATGAGAACTATTGATTGATGATCTTGACGCTGANGCCGTCCAACTCCTCGACTGTGAGACCGCTAATGTTCTCGGCTGACTGCAACAATTCTTGATAAATATCATTGAGTGAATTACCTTGAAGTCCAGTTTATTTGTTTGGAACTTCTGTGTCTCTGAGTTCGCCTATTGCAGTTCCCATCTCGGCTACAGTGTGTTTATTTTTTTTTTGTGAATGGGAGTCGCGTCAGGAAACGGCGCTGTAATTGCTTCACTGAAGTGCGCTTGAGATGAATGCTCAGTAATCTGGATAATTGGCTCAATTTCGCTTGATTATCTCCTCAGTGCGTTCATGCATACGTTGATTATCTCCTAACTCCGCGTCTGACATGGTGGTCGTCTCTGCTCTGGGTGAGGTAACTTATCGATAGTAGGTAGATACCGACTGATGTTGACTTGATGCCCACTGTCGATAAGGTAGGGCACGTTATTAGGTGAGGGCACTCTTCCAACTGCCTGTTGGTTTTCGCGGTGCGCGCGCGGCTTGGGCCTCGGCTAGTCCCGACGGAGACCGAGGTTTTCCGAAGTTGCACAGCACTAGAGGTCGAAGTGTCACTACCGGTGTTTACAATACTGAACTTCAACTGTAAACACTAGGTACAACACTCTGCACTGTTGATTGTCTTGACTTATCCGTAGATTTGCTCGTGTGGAACCCGAAACTCTGTTACACACGAGGCGTCCATTTTATTGTAGAATTTTCCACTCACTCTCACGCACTTTTTCTCCATCCGGCTCGAAAGACCATTTGTTTGAGATTGAAGCTAAATTGAGATGCCGGTTGGGGAAAAGTGGAATTGTGGAAGGAGGTGGAAAATTAAAACACGCGGAATTATAAAACCACACTGTTGATGTACTTTATTGTGGAATAACCCACGCGTCTTGATAAATTAATAAGGTTACACTATTGAGTTGCTCGACAAAGTCAGTAGAAATGATGGTTTGAAAAATGCACTGCACTTGAGATTCTCTCGATATTGAACTTGATGATTGACTCAAAATAATTGATAGGTAACTCGGAATTAATTGATAGTAGAATGGAATTAAATAGAGACGCTGTACGGAGCGCTAGACTCAAATGTATCGCGTTGATGTACTCCGGTGATATACTCGATTGAGGGGTTACGGCGATACAGTACTGTGATTAGAGTGACTCTCTTGGTGGCTAGAGCGATACTACTGACTTTTTCGGGGATTTTCTTCGTAGCTGAATGTGACCCCGAAGGGTCCCGAAGTTTCTCGCGATTTTCGTTGAGCCCGGTGACCGTTTGACTAGTTTGAATACCTAAATTTCAAACAGACCTTTTTTGTAACTTTTGATTCGCTTTTCAAGAAAGATTATGAGAAAAAAATTGGTATCTGTCTTACATTCCGAGATATTCATTGAAAACTAACCAATACCAAAATTGGTTTGAACCGTTTTGCTGCTATGCTACTGAAATGGAGCACAAGGTATGATGGTATTCCGAGTCAGAATAAGTCCTATTTGAATTCCGATTTTTATCAAAATTGAATTCGGAAAGCTCCAAGGAAATGAGTTGAATAAGCATCAAACATCATGCGTAA